TCCCATCACACTAAGAGATTGTACTGTTGGGCCAAAGGGCCAAGATTGATTTGGCGCCTGTATGGTTGGGAGGGGATGAAGTGGTAGTTAGCCTGGACATAACCACATGGCATGGTTGCGAACTGTCTAAAATAGGTTTTATTGTCTGCTTTCTAGAAACCAGAACTGCAAGGAATCAGGGAATGAGGTCATTATGTCAAGACGCCCCGAGGGCAATAGTGCATGCGTGTTCTTGACTGTTAATGTGTGCTTTTCTGTTGATCAGTTGGAAGTTATTGTTTTGTGTGGGATTACGATGTGATGTGATTATGCGCATCTTGACCGCTGAACTCTCTCTCGATCTATATAAAAGATTGTACCAGCACTCATCTATTCTTCTCGCATGGAAGTATATATCAGTATTAAAATTAAATGAACAAGCGTATATAGTAGGTCTACAGTTTGTAGGCCTGTAATAAGTAGGCAATACTATTCGTTGTGATAAATTTGTTCTTGGCGCCACCTTCTCTGGAAGTGACGCCACGCCCCTGCTTATGCCACTGCTCATGAACAGCGCCTAATGCACACTGCATATAGGATTCGTTGGACTAAGTCTGCTTTATGTACAGGACAAAAATACGACCGAATCCAACTTACATAAATTGTGTCTTCCGAAAATCAAACGCTCTTGCTTTTCAAGGTTGCGAGTCGAATCGTGTGTTAGGTGCCATATTCGCTACCTTAAAATTACGAAGTTCTGTCTGACATTTTCGGCCATTTAGAGTTACAAAGAAACCTATCAATGTTCTGTCTGCCCTATCAAAAGGGTACTATTTTTCGGGTTTGCTATCAAGATATTCGAATAATTACATTTAAAAAACATTGACATGTTATTGTGAAACTCAAAATTGTTAATGTCAAATTTCTCAAAACTAGGTACTGAGCAGATAGAATTTTGTAACTCTGAGGCAGCAAAATGGTAGCATTTGCCTGATTGTCAGTGCATACTGGGCATAAGATATCTATATATAAAAAAAAGTAATTCGTTCATTACTTATGTTCGTTTCAAACTCTCTCTCTCTCTCTCTCTCTCTCTCTATATATATATATATCAACCGGTCTAAGACAACGCAGGTGGTTGGAGGGCGCAACTGGTAGGTTCTACTTCTTTACTTCCCCTTTGTTGTTTCTGTCTGTGCGTCTGTCTTACTTTTTCCCAGCACTAAGCGACTGTTATCGTGTCCTTCTCTTTACTCTGGTAAACAAACAGACACACAAACAGACAAACAAACAAACAAACAAACAAACAAACAAAAAGGCAAACACACAACAACAACAACAACATCAACAAAACAACAACAATAACAAAAATAAAAACAACTACATCATCAACAACAACAACAAC